AAGATGCTCAATGCTTAGCACACGTTGATGTTTCATGTTGGTGCTTCTCCAAGCAAAACATCTCTGAAGATGTAGAATACGGCAAGTGATAGCACATGTAAAAAAAAGAGACCTACCTCAGTATTAGACAATAGGGAGCCTTATTGTATCTTTGTTTAGAATGTTTCCATTCTAGAGTGCCTCATCGGCATCAAAGTTGCAACATCAGAGTACCTGAAAGATACGCGTTTAGAAATACACATTATACAGAACGTGGTAAATTAAAAAACGAATGAAACCGAAGCGAAGCTCTCAAAATGTTTTACCATGCTCAGAAGTTTGCTTCCCGAACCTTTAGATCATTGCTTTCTCGGCTCACTTCACAGAATGCCAAGCTTTGCTTAATGGAGCTATTCTTCAAATGCTTTGGGAATATCAAATCCACTAAAGCACTGAGTTTTCGGTCCATTGAGACATCCTTTTGTGATCTGGCAGACTTCAAAGTACATTCCGGTACTTTTTACATCCTCCATTTGTCTTTTCTCTGGCCTTTATTGTGCCTTTCCTTTTCTCCCCCGTTTCGTTCCCCGCGCTCATTTCCCCCTCCCTTCAAGAAATTGATACATAAAGAAACATGACAAATAATGAAGCAATAACTTCAAAATGTCAGTCTCGATTTGCCTGAGCAATGTCTGTGGTGGTTTTCCACGATAAACCAATTTATTTACCATTTAGAAGACAAGGTGGTCGCAAAAACAAAACAATGCTTTCGTATATCCCCTTACGAAATCTATGTGCAATTTTCTGCTTTCGTCCGTGCTTAACTGGACATGAATTTATTCTAAACTGTCTGAAAAGAAGTCAGTTCAAATCTACTTTGTCCATGTTCGAAATGTAACGGTGCTTTTCTTGTAATCAACCCGATATACATTGGAGTGCTGCTTAAACCATCAAGCCAATATACCATAAGAGCCAACTTCAACAAAACCTTTTAATATTGGTCGAACTTAATAATTACACATTTTATGACAACAACCCCCCATTTTCATTGTACTTTTATCAATTTTGCAGCAAATTTTCTAGACCTGGGACACTAACTTGAACTTTCTCACTTAAAAGAATAAAGAGAAAACAAAGATCAACAACAAGATGTTCTATAAAATTTATTCTAAATATTTCACGCCTTTACAGATTTACTGTCAAAACAAATGAATACCTTATAAATAAGGAAGTGCTCTGTGGTTAAATAGATATAGAAACAAGGGCTAAGTACAAATAAATAAAGCAGAAAAAGTTTTAAAAATGTGCCAATATCTCAAGATTTCAAAAATAAAATATGCAGGATCACATGATCTATATTAATAATCAATATCATATTTTTGGAAATGTAGCTCCCCTTGAAATTTTTTTAATTAAAACGTGAATTTATTTTAAATTTGATAATCTCTAAAGTTTTATATTCCAATAACTGACCCTGCAAGGACTTCAATACCTGGTAAACAGTAATACTTAAACGTTTTCTGGATAGAAAACGGACGATTAAAGATAGGATTAAGATTAAGCCAGAGAAATAAAACACTATTTCACACGAAATGACTAATTCACAGACTAATTAATCAAGTTAAAATGACTGTGTGCAGAAGTTTTTCTTGAAAAGAAAACATTCCGACTTTTAGATGACACCCATCTCCTTACCAACCTCGATGAAGGCATTGATACACTCGTCTACTTGTTCTGTTGTATGGGCTGCAGACATTTGCACGCGAATACGGGCTTTGCCTATAATGAAGGTTTGAGTCAAGGCATAAAATATTAACAATTCTCTACCTGGTGTTAGAGAAATACATGTATGACTGGTAGGGCAAGACTGTGCATCAATATGAATTTCTTATATATGACAACTTAAGAGCAGTGTAAATCTCTCTTCAAGTATACAAGCCATAGCTTTAGATACCGTCAAAAAGCAATCGATGTTCCAGCAGCATTTGGGGCAGAATGAGAGCGGAAGGTGATCAGGATTGCACTAAACAAGAGGCTTTTGCTATGGCTCTTTCCTCGAATATTATCTTAGATCTCTTACGGCCATTTTCAAACTCTTTAATTTTCAAACAAGTAAGAAGCAAAAGAAACTGCAATAAGTTCTCATATTTCCGATGGCTATAAACACAAGTTTCCAAGTGTTCCAGTCTGCGATTGTGGATATAGAACAGTTTTTGACAATAAGCTTTAAAACGTTTCTACAAGTTAAATTTTCCGGGTAAATAGCCTTTGAGTAAAATTTTTCATTCAAGGGAAAAAGGAATGTAATGAAAAATACCTCTTGGCACCACCGGGAAAGTGAAACCAATGACATAAATTCCTCGATCTAGAAATAAGAAATAATAAACACTGATGACAAATAAATTCACAAATGCTTCAGAATATCCTTACTGCAAAACTGGAAGAGCATTAAAAGAAAACACAATTAAAGACGAGCAAGATGAAAAGAATAAGAGTTTTTGCCAACCCACATTAAGAATCATGAAAAATTTCATTTTAAGAACTTAAATTTCCATGATTTTCAACCATTTTCCTTAGTATTTCCAGTCACACAATCCCTGTTATCTGCTTTTTTGTCGTCTAAAAAGCTTAATGCTTGCTTGGCTTGTTACGAGCAAGCCAATGAATATATTTGCATTCATCACGTGAAAACATTTGTAATAAAACAAGACTTGGTGCACAGAATGCAAGTAAATCGATACAGCGGTGGCCTAAAATGATTCTCACCAATCATTGCATCTGAAAATGCAACTGCAGTGCGTTCATCTGGCATCATCACTGGACAAATAGGGTGGCCGTCGCCCTGTTTAAAATTGATTAATCACAAAGAATCAATGCCAAACTATTTAGAATTGCATAATCACAAAGAATCAATGCAAAACTATTTAGAATTGCATAATCACAAAGAATCAATGCTAAACTATTTAGAATTGCATAATCACAAAGAATCAATGCTAAACTATTTAGAATTGCATAATCACAAAGAATCAATGCTAAACTATTTAGAATTGCATAATCACAAAGAATCAATGCTAAACTATTTAGAATTGCATAATCACAAAGAATCAATGCTAAACTATTTAGAATTGCATAATCACAAAGAATCAATGCCAAACTATTTAGAACTGCATAATCACAAAGAATCAATGCTAAACCATTTAGAACTGCATAATCACAAAGAATCAATGCCAAACTATTTAGAATTGCATAATTACAAAGAATCAATGCTAAACCATTTAAAATTTAAAACTAAACTTAACCGTGATGGCGACTTGGGGGGTAAAGTTTCGCCCGGAATGATTTTTGCGGTCAAATCTCTTACAAGTTTTCAAACTTCATTTCTCCGTAAAATCTCAAATACAAGCACAAACAAAGTCAAAAATTGTATCCGGTATTAAATTATGGCGATAGAACCAAATCTGAGCTTAACAAAGTCGTATAGGTAAGAAGGTAAGTTGGAAAACGTCTAAAACGAGGCCGTAAATCGAATTGGTGTATTGCAAAGAACTTTCTAAAGACACCAATTTTGTTATTTTCAACGAATATGCCATTCCAAATGACAAATTTCTAACAAATCAACGTGTTCACAAAATAAATAAAGACGTTTTATAGAAATGATTGCACTGTCCGACCAACAAAAAGAACAACGACGACATTAATCTTCTGCAGGCTCCAGTCAACATAAGGGAAGACTCTTAAATGCCAATCCGTATAGCTTTGAATATGATTCAAACGTTCGTGAATCTAAATCACAAGTATGTTGAATTCAGAGAAGACAGAAGTCGACAATCAAATCGAAATGGATTGGAGCCCATGATTTTCAAGAACGAAAACATATGCTCTAAACACTTTCTAATGAACAGACAAGTGAAAGGACTAATTTCGCAAAAAAAAACAGCTTAAAAGAGAGAAATTAAAATGGACGTACAATAACGTTGAATCCAGCTTGGGTCATTTTCTCTCTAAAGCGCTTTGTATTTGTCATAACTTTCTTCGTGAGAGGCGAGCCATCCATCAACATATCAAATACCTTAAAAGCATTTAGAAATTCAAGCAACATAAATCATAGATTGTGTTATTGTTAACAAATGGATGTGAATGTTTTATGAATGTTTAACACATGGGCCTGAACTGAGATATTTTTGCCCAAAATATTGCAGAATTTTTTGGGGGGGCTCTCTAATGCTAAGTGTCCTGGGCACAGTGTCCTGTGGTTAATGCAGCACTACCTAAAAACCATGATTAATGAAAATAGCGGGTCGGCTTAAAGATGGGCATAAAAAGTATTTTGAAACACACTTCACTGTAAACCACTGAACGAAATGCCGCCATTGCCGTTGCCCCCTGCTTCAAAAGTGGCATTAAAACCAAATACGTCTTCTTATGAAAAACAAAAATACAAGCTACTGTTACATTAAAACAACACTCCTAAAAATATTGGCCAATAGAATATCTCAGTTCTGTACGGATTATCAGCAATTTATCACTTCTTTAACTTTACAAAAACCGCAATATTTCTCACGTTCTGGCGACGATTTGCATAATCACTAACCTTGCTAGCACTTGCAACTATTGCAGGAGGACAAGAATTTGAAAACAAGTACGGCCTAGATTTCTGCCTTAATAGCTGTACCAATTCTTTTGGAGCGGTTGTATAGCCACCTAAAACAAGCAAAATTCGTTAAGAAGTAAAAAATTGCACCTTATAAAAACCCACTTCACCGGATAAAACCCCTGAATTTCTCAACAATGGAATGGAAAGCTTTAGTTAGAACTGACATCATTAGAACTGTCTTTGAACGTGTGCCTATACATACATTCACTCTTTCGTCAATGCTTTCAGCTTTCCTCACTGTTTGGATTGATTTTCAAGATTGATTTCCACCCCAGAGTTTAAAACAAACGTAGCCATCAGATCTTATTCTGAAAAGATTCTAATTAGAGGAAGAATGCAAAATGTGGTGAACAAGTCCTTATGGGCCCCTTAATAACGGGCCTTTTTGTATTTAGCATCTATGAGAATCAAGGGGTAACAGAAGCCAGAAATTGTCTAAAAGATATCGATATGACGGTTGACTTACCCGCAGCCCCGCCTAGAGCCTTCCCAAGGGTTGAGTTTACTATGGTTACGCGTCCAACCATTCCAAAGTGCTCCTCTGTTCCCCTAAAAAGACAACCATCAACAAAACTATACGCCATGTATTTCTAAAGGTCTGAAAACAGTCCCAATAAAAAATGCAGTTTTTGCAACAAAAATTTGGTAATATCCGGTTAAAATAAAATTTGGTAATATCCATTTTTCTGCATTATCAGTCTAATCCCACTGTATGACATCATTTGTTACTCAATCAGGTTATATTAGATATCTGGAAGGGGTTTCAGAACATGTGTTAGAATCGAAAGCTTTCCTAAGTGACCTTGAAGTTTGGCCTACCCTTGGTACCAGAGCGATTAAATTCGAGAGCGGAAACAGAATACAGGAGCGGAGAAGAAAAATCAGAGAAGAAAAAAAAAATAATCCGGTAGACGCTCATCCGCTTCTCCGCTTGGTATTCTACTAGGGAGCTAGAAATTTTATGGCTCTGATACTCTGGGTGGTCTTGCCTTACTAATCTCCTCTAAAAAAGAGACATAAATTGCAGTTCAAACTTGGTAACTAAATAACTAAATACAAGTAAGTTGGGTTTTCTCTTGCATAAATACACAAAAAAGAGGATAGAGGCGCGAAAAATTGCAGATTGGCCTAAAGCTTTAAACACCTCTAGATAGTTGAAAGTTTCTTAAAGACCTTAAGAGCATTACAGCGTTGATAATAGAGAGAAACTTATAACAGACAGACACAAAATAGGAATACCTGCCAGTTTCTCCGAAAAATCCAGTAGCATGACACTCATCGATAAACGTTAAAGCGTTGTACTTGTCAGCAAGGTCACAGATTTGACTGCAAACAAAGAGTTCATTTGCTCAAAAACCTGAGAACTAATAGAAAGAAGCAAACAATTTTTAATTTCTTCTCTGAAATCCTTATCTATAAAGACTCCGATTAACCTTGTCTTTATACCGGACAGGGATTCTTTTGCCTGTATTAGCCAATCACGGGTTGTCTATGGTTAATGAACGCATGACCCCTTCAGATACAACATGGAGAAAAATATGTTGCTGTCCAAAATTGCAATTTCTGCCAAAATCTCTACCTTGGGACATTAACGTCAATCTTATCACAGAGGGTAACTGAAAGTACGTTTGAGACAGGCATTAGAAGGCAAGTTTGTTTTCAGTTGATATCAGGTTGTGGATTTGACAACTGATCTAGAATGTCTTTCGCATATCTTCTGAATTTTTCAGCAAAACTGAGCTTCCTTACTCGAGGGGGGCAACATTTCCGTCCATGCTAAAAACGCCATCAGTTGCGATTAGCTTCATTCTGGCTCCAGCAGCATCTGCCTCTTGCAATTTTGCCTCAAGATCTGCAACAGAACACAAATTTTAGTCAAAAACATGTGATTTCATATTAATTATTCACGGTTTTCGCCCGTAGCACAGCAAAATTTGCACAGAAAAATTCATCCATCACATTCACCCATCACATCCATCACGTGTCACATGCACTGGTAAAACAGCAGGATATGAAATGTCAGTCTTCTTTATTTACTCTTGAGTTTTTCAAGCAAACACTGATTAAAAGTTATGTCTTATGAAATGCACCATGCATCATTTAAAAGACTAAAAAATCCTCGTGAAATCAATATATTCTTACACCAAATACGTCTTCTTTAATTGTTATTTCAAGGTTGTGTAGAGCGCTTTAAGACATTTTCAAATTTCAAAATATTTGGTGGTGCCCATTTAAATAAAAATATGTTTTCCTTCAAACACTGGCAACAAAACACGAAAGAGAAAATTAATTGACAGAAAATTGCTGACAAAACACTTTGTTACATAGAAATATTCTACACAAAAATAGGGAAAAGCTGTAGAATTCAGGCAAAGATCTATGCTGTAAACGTGATAAAATAAAAGCAATTAACGGCAGAAAGAACTTATTTTTTATTCGACTTAGCATTCACAATTCTACTTAAAAATCTTGGCCTCCTGTTTCGGTCACCATCAAGCAGATGGGTCTATGCTTCACCTGCCATATCCTTATGCTTGTACCGAAACTTCTTTGCCTTGCAGAGCCGAATGCCATCGATAATCGAGGCATGATTCAATTCATCACTGATAACAGCATCTTCAGGTGTGAGCAATACCTCAAACAAACCAGCATTGGCATCAAAACAACTGATGTACAGTATTGAATCGGTGCGTCGGTGAAATTTTGCAATCTTCTCTTCCAAATCTTTATGAATATTCTAGAATTTTTTCAAAATGGTTACTATTGATGTAAGAAAATCAAGATACAAAGAAAATCAAGAAAAAAGACAATGAAAAGTAAACAGAACTGACTCACTGATTAATCTTAATCTGTCATATCTGATTGTATAAGGTTGATCCTCGCAAAACAAGAAGGAAATAATTGTTTAAAAATGCCACAAGGAGCTCAAATCTATCAAAGGATTTTGAACCATATGCATGGATATTTCTAACTGAACCACACCCAAAAGGGTCTGAAATTTACTTCTAGTTGAGCCTAGTAAGGCTCATCGTAGTCAACAGAATAAGCTCAAAGAAGGGAAAGTTGCAGTGGAAAAAGAAAAGTTCAAAAATTAATGGTTTTGAATATATTAGATAACAGGCAGAGTGCAAAGTAGGAAAGGCTTGCAATACAACAGACACAAAAATGTGCTGAAAAGTGTTAAAAAGAAAGAGAAGGAAAAAAATGCCATCCAGGGCATAGTGCAAGGGGTAAAAAAATAAACAATAACAGTATTGAGACAGTAGGTTTGGAAGATCAAAGCTATTTTCAATAATGATAACAAGAACAAAAGCGAAAGGATTTAAGCAAGCCAAAACTTGTCTTGAATTTTGATGAACTGCTAAATTACCAAACTAAGGGTATTCAGAAATTCCTTTGCAAAACCAGATTAAAAACTTATTCAGATTAATAAAACATTGTAGGTTAAAATTTTTATTCTGGTGCATTGATATCTGGCTGAAAAATTCAAAAAATAAAAAAAGTTGCCTTGAACCCCCACAACAAATATCAGTATCACCAAGGGACAAAGGAGACAAGAGACAATTTCTATACATTTCATTTTAGTTCAATTGAAGTTTGACATATAAGTATTGCAGAGCCATGCAACTGCTGTATGTGTTTTTGAGACCACTGAAATATGTTTTGGTATGTTACTGCAGGGGTGCATTTTTACTGTGCAGTTTACAATGGGCACAACCATCGGTTAGAGTCCAGCTTCACCACTGTCAGTAACATGGCATACTTCAGTACTTTTTGGCTGAAGCCCTTAAAGATCAGATAATGACTAAAGAAAAACAGAGATTTATATCCATATGGAGATCAAAAGAAAAGTGAGAGGGAGAATGGAAGAAAACACAGTACTTAAGTAAAACTTATAATTTGGGAGATTTAATCTTTTCAGCAAAGGGCAGAACAATCCTGCATTTCTAATAGTTTTTAAAGGATCTTCTAAGTGCCTTAATAATTTTATTCAAAAATATTTTATTCAGTTTTTATAAAATCACAATATATAGCTATTGCTTTTATTTGTGTTATGAAATTACATATCACCAATAGCTTGATAATTCTATGTGTTTGGCATGTTGAGATAAAATTTTCCTTCAAATCTCTTTCAGTTAAAATCATGGAAAAAGATCAATCACCTGTGTGCCACAAATGAATCTCACAGAGCTTAGCCCAGCACCATGTGACTCTAAGGCACTCTCACAAGCATGTACAACATCAGGATGAGCCTATTGGAATAAAGGGAAAACTATTAAAGAAGGTATCTTTGATTATTCCTATTCTGCAAGAATAAACAATATGTGGCCAGCAAAAAATAAAATTGGCAACAGGATTTCAAAGATAGTTAATATAGCGTGCTGGAAAATAACCGACCCAAGCGAGGCTAAAACTCACTACCCCTGACTTTATTTGTCAAGTGCTCTACTGCTGAGCTATCGGGTCGTGCTTTCAAGCCATCACCCAAGACCGAGTAATTGACCCGCATTGCCCCTCTCTTTTACCGATTACACAGGGGAGCCATCGCAGCTCCATCACAAAGTGCAGAGGAGCTGAAGGGTGAGAGAGGACTGCCCACACCAGCAGGGCCATCGCAGCCCCACTTTCCACAATGGCACTTCTGTTAATAAGCACACAATATCAACCATACAAAACATATTGCTACAGGAGTGACAGACATAATTTTCTCTAAAAGTAACTTACTGAAAGTCCTAGATAGTTATTTGCACAAAAGTTCAACACTTTCTTTTCTGTGCCTTCAATATTAATAGCTCCATCTTGAGGTGATGTAATGACCCTTTCAGATTTCCATGTCCCTGCATCTTCAATTGCTTTAAGCTGATTTGAGAGAATTTCTTTCATTGATGAAACTGCAGCTGACATATGTCTTTTCTGCAGGCGCAATAAGCTTTTTCGCAGCATAGCTGCACCTGCAACATTCAGAGAAATTGACTTACATACAGAGTTCAGGGTTCCATTTGTACAGAGTTTGACTTAAATATTTCACAGGAATTCCTTTAATAGTGCAAATTTGTTTTGAAAGCTACGCAACCCAAACAAGATCCAGAATAAACAATTTACCATCAAATGAAAAAATTGGAGGTTTACTTTATGATATTGAAGACTATCCTGTTACAACATAAAAAAGAGAGCTTTTAAGTTAGGGAAGATCACTCTTTAACAGATGACAAAAATGATCATATCAGATAATTCCGGTTCAATACGTTAGAGAGGAAAGTTTCTTTTCCAAAACTGCATGTAACAGCATGCTATTCATTTCCGAGTAAGAGATAAATTACCTTTTAAATTGTTTTTACCTATTCAAACGATCAATGGCTTTATTTTTGCAAACCTATTATGTTTTTATCCATATATTTCAAGGGCAATCACGATTGCAACTAATACTGTCAAAACAATGCATTACAGCCATTTGTTTACATTTTCAATACATATTGATCCATTTATTGAGCTGTGTTAATAATTATAATTAACACAAATATTTGTACAGGATAACCTATCAGCATATTAACAATGCTGTTATTTTCTTAAGGGTCCTGTTATGAAATTAAAGTAAGTGGAGGAAAAAACTATGATTGTGCTAAGTTTTCAAAGAGTTTAGCCATGGCACCTACTCTTACTACAGATCAATACACTTTTTTATCTGTTTTCGCATGATACATCAGAGGGACATCCAAACTACAGCAATCTTTGCAGAAACATAAGTTTGATTTTTACAGCAAAAATGGTAACCATAGAAATCTGTTATCATAAATTTCAACTGCACTACGCATACACTAAATTTGCGAAAAGCCAGCCTGTCATTCTATGGATAATTCGAAACTTAAGCTCTAACCAAAACTTATTCTTAGTTAGGCGAAGTGTCTGTTTGTTATGCAAGACTCTAGCGCGAAAATGAAATGCTGTTGTTAAAAGTTGAATGAAAAGTTGTGTCAGCCTGGACATACAAAACTTAATGTTGCAAACCCCTAATTCACCAACATGAATACGCTTTAATATCTAGCCTAGCAAATGAATCATAACACTTGTAGCTTATCGTGAGATTGGTCATAATGTTCTTACCTAGCAAAGATCTCACGGCAGCCATTTTGCAGGTTCCGCTGACAGTGTATTTTGTTGTGGTTGTTGCAAAAGCATCACGGGAATGGTTCGGCCCAGTTCACACCCCTTCCAATCATAAGATCGAATTCGTGAAGTGGACTTTTTTATGCTAAAAAGGCTGAAAGATTTTAACCACAAACCCAAGAAACCATACATTTTTTTTGTTAAGTTAATATGTGGAAGCTCAAAATACAACGAAAAACAAATTTACCAAATCAAATACATTTACTTTGATAAGAAACCAGCACGGGACAAAAGAAAAATTAAACAAAAAATTAGGAAACAATTGCATTTTATTAAAGCCCAGAACTCCGAAATTTTGATTAAATTTGTTAACAGGTTGGCAAAAACTTTAAAGATAGAGGATATACACTTCCCTATCTATGAACAGACATCTCAGTACTGTACAGACTTAGTAGATACGACACCCCATCCCCTGCCAGTACAAGTAAAATTTTGCTGCCCCTGCCATTTGACCTGCTATCCCCATTAAGAAAACATGACGCCTGGTTTGTTACACAGGGGTGCTCTCCTGTCCCTTCTTGGACCATGAAAAGGGTAGACCTGGCATGAGTTCGAAATTATCCAGCCAAAATGCTCAGAAAATCCTGGAGTTCTGTCGTTCAAATTTCAGATCTGGAGCAAAGAGATATCCTCCATCCTCAGACATCAACTACTAGTTTTATAAATGAAACCAAATAATCCGTGTTATAATCCATTTAAAGTACAAGAAAGGAAATCCGACCTTCTAACAAGAGTAAAATACGAGACCAAGTGATATTAATAAACCAATTCACAAAGGTGTGAAATTCTCACGATCAAAACGACTGAAACAAATAAAATTATAAGTATGATCGCATGACCTTCAAACAACTATATCACAATAGAACCGTCAACAACCGTAAAATTCACAAAAATTGCGAGACACTATTGCGAAAGACACAGGGCATCTGAAAAGGCATTTAAACTTTGAAACATAACAACAACAAAAGTATTTTTAATAGGTCTCAAACAGCTCCCTTCTCTAATAAGCCCTAATGAGACCCTTTCTCATCGAACATTTAAAAATAAGATGCCTCCATTGGGCTTAATAGAGCTTTAACAGTATTTGTATATCAATTCGACGATATTTTTACGGTACACAATATTTCACATCATGATTGTGACTTTTATAGTACCAAACATGTTGCATCATTCCTGTATCCAGAGTTGAGGGGACAGCCGGGTAAAAGCAGCATTGAAATGCTTCGCCTGGGAGATCAGTTTGTTGGCCAGCATAATATATGACTTCTAAAAATATCCTGCATATACATAACCGACACTTTGACCAGAAATGAAACGGCCTGGTACGATCATAATGCTCTGGGATTGCATCATTACTTGTAACCTTTTGAACTATTTATGAACGAAAAACATTTACTTGCAACGTATTGACAGTCTTAAGAAAACAAGATCATCATCAATCAATGATTTCCGATTTACTCTTTCAAGCTCAGCTTTTTTGAGGGTTATTTCTTTAAGACCTAATTTAATCATTTCCTTATCATCACTTGTCACAAAAGCATAAAAGGATGAAGTACGTTATAAAATGGTCTAATTGATTGACCTTGACGATGGTGGATGTTTTTATTTATTGAACTGGAAAACACTATACATTGGGATTTAATTTACCAAAACGTTAATGACATCAATGAAAAATTCTGGAAAAATTCAAACACAACAAAAAACAGTTTCTATAGTACTGAAGTAGAACATTTACTAACAAATAATACAAACCTTAAAAAACGACCTGAGGAATCTAAACTTAGGCAAAATTGTTCTCAATTTCTTACAGTACTCAATAAGAAATAATGTTAGCTATGAAAACCATTTTTTATTGGTATTTCAAATCCTTTTAACACCACATACTGGCAGTTACTTACATAAACTCAGATAATACCAGAAGCACCAATGACACAAGTAATGAAACTGGAGGAACACCCAATTTTTAAGAACAGCATTGATGTCTATTAAGTTCATACCACTTTTAGAGAAACAATAAGTCTTCTTATACATATCATAGTAAAAAATGTGTCCAAAAAGTTAGTTACTGTTGCTTGCCTCTGTTCATGAAAATCAAACACAAAAACGCTATTATTCTTGTGACGAAACCATACCCAAACAAGACACCAACGCATACCCAGTATTTGTCCAGCGCGTAATCTCGATTAAATGCGAAATAATCGATGTCGTTTTGGTGGACTGCGGCATAGTGTTTGACCTCAGCTTCGAAGAGGGCCTCGACATACCAGCGAGCGTAGGAGAGGCTGTAGAAAGCAGGACCAATGACTTTCAAGTCATTCATTTTGCAAAGGGTTGGTGATGAGCCTGAAATGGAATAATGTTTGCAGCGAGAATATAGAATCCATTAAGGTCTTCGAAAGAGGAAAATTGCTTACTAAACGTTCATCAACTCAATACAAGAAATAATCCTGCATGAACCTAATGCTCTCAGAATAACCCAAAGATATATGAAATATCCCCCTTTTTATTGAATCGAATTCTCTAATAATATTATATAAAATAATAGAACTACGATAGTGGAACTAAAATCCTTAAATTTTCCTCTCTTGCCGCAGCCGATTTCTCGGTGACAGCAAAATGATCTTTTTTGCTTTTTGTTCAAACGTTCAAGCGACGTTTTCTATCGAATATTTGAATTATTTCAAATTTGCTAACTTAATATCTTAT